ACCACGGGTCCACGGGGGCGGCCTGCCGAGGGAGAGGAGCGCGTGAGGAGCAGAGGAAGGCGTGCGAGATGCTCGCAGTGGCCGGGGGCCGCAGGGCTGGGCGCTGGGAGCAGGGTGGGGGACGGGGGGGACACGGCGCTCACCTGTGTAGCCAGGTCGGCACTCGCATTTGTAGTCGTTGACCCGCTGCACGCAGTTCTGGGTGCCGCGGGCGTCGCAGGGGTTGGACAGGCACTCGTTGACGTCTCCCTCGCAGCGCTCCCCTACAAAGCCAGGGGGGCAGATGCAGCTGTAGCCACCTACCCGATCCGTGCACTTGCCATTGTTAAAGCACTTGGGCCCCAGGGTGACAGGATCAAAGAAAGGGCTGCAGTCATCCACATTGATCTCACAGTGCACCCCTAGAGAGATGGGGGAACAACCCACACAGCTCATCAAACAGTGTCGGGGTGCCCGGTGGTCCCTTGCGTGAACCTCCCCTGCGAAGGGGCTGAGCCTGGCCAACTCCACGGCAGCCCGAGGCCCCCAGGAGGCACGCAGCGCGGCGAGGCTCGCGGCCAAGGTTGCGTGGCCTTGATGGCTAAGCTCGCAAGCAAACACAAACCTCTACCGCTGCATTTGCTTCTGCTAGCCCGAGCAGCTAATGAGCAGATACCGAGGATATCTGCACTCAACCCACTAACGCCCCAACCTGGGGAATTAATTTACCTTGAGTTCCTCTGGGGCAGGAGCATTTGTAGGTATTGATGAGATCGATGCAGGTTCCTCCGTTCTGGCATGGGTGGGACAAGCACTCATTGATCTCCTCTGAGCAGTTAACTCCATGATAACCAGCCACGCACTACAAGGAGGGAAGAGCGAGAGAGGTTCCTTCAATCCCCACGTGGCTGCAGGAGCACAGACAGCACCCCAGCCTTCAACCCAGTGGAGGGGCACCAGCCTGAAGCTGGGGCAGCTCCTTGGGCTGCAGGAAGGCAATAAATGGTGCTTTCCCCCTGTTCATCTCTGCCCCCGCGGCACTCACCTCGCAGGAGTAGCCTCCCAGGTAGTCTGTGCAGGTGGCTCCGTTCTGGCAGGGGTTGGGGGAGCACTCGTCCACCTGCTCCTCGCAGTAGCTGCCCGTGTAGCCGGCCTGGCAGCGGCAGAAGTGAGTGTTGCCGGTGTCCACGCAGAGCCCTGAATTCCTGCAGAGATGTGCTACGTCGATACCTGCCGGGGAGAGCAGAGTGAGACGCTGGGACCTCGGTGACACCCGCGCACCGCAGGGCCACGTCCTGGCCACCACACGTCCCACCGGTGAGCGCAGCCAGGACTGCAGCCGCAGGGTGTGCCCGTCACAGCAATCCTTGAGATCGCTCTCGTTGTGCCGAAGATCCCCACCAAGAGAACCGAGTGCAGCAGGGACTGACCTTGCTGCTTGGCGGCCACCTCGCAGGAGACGCTGGGGACGTCGCAGTAGAGCCCCGTCCACCCGCTGTTGCACTCACAGCGGTACAGGTTGTTGGTCTGCCAGCACTTGCCTCCGTTTTTGCAGGGAGAGGAGTCGCACCAGCGCACCAGGTTCTGTGGGGAGCACAGGAGGAGATGGGGGGCAGGACCCAGCAGGGCTTCTGCAGGAGTGGAGGCTGCAGTGACCCCCCAGCTCCCCCCAGCCCGCACACATGGACGGACACTGGAGCGAGTGGCCAACAGCCCAAGGCTCCTCTACCTGGCAGTTGAGCCCGGTGTATCCCTGGGGACAAGTGCACTTGTATGTTCCGTAGCTGTCCTGGCACGTGCCCCCGTTCAGGCACGGCTTGGAGTCGCACTCATTAATGTTGTGCTCGCAGTAGCTGCCCGTGAAGCCGGGCGGGCAGACGCAGGTGAAGGTGTTGATGCCATCCACGCAGGTCCCACCGTTGAAGCAGGAGCTGGGAACACAGACATCACGTCCCCGTGAGTCACCACCGCCCGTGCTCCACGCCAAAGCCCCCACAAACCAGCCCAGGGCTACGGGGCAGCGCAGGGACCTCAGCCCCTTGCTCCAAGGCTGCGCCCGTGGCAGGGGGGGCGCTGGGCTGTACCTCTCCGTGCAGTCAGGTGTGTTGTTCTCGCAGTGGATGCCGCTGAAGCCGGAGGGGCAGGTGCAGGTGTAGCTGTTGACGCAGTCGGTGCAGTTGGCACCGTTCTTGCAGGGGTTGCTGGCGCACTCGTTGATGTCCTCCTCGCACTTGGGCCCACGGAAACCAGCCAGGCACTCGCAGAAGAATGTGCCGACACCATCAGAGCAGGAGCCACCGTTGTGGCACGGATCTGGAGAGGATGGATGTGTGCATGAACATGCAATGGGTCCAGCCCTGGTGCAGCAGCCCTGCCCAGGACCTGCCCCGCAGCACCGTCCCCGCACACGTCCCCTGGCCGTGCAGAGGGACGGGACAGAGCCTGTGGACCAGGCAGAGACCGGGCCAGCCCCACTGGGAGACTGGGCACAAGCAGGGCACATGGGACATACATGCTCACTGCCCACACACCACTCTTCCCCCCCAGCTCCCATCCGGCCTTGGACCAACGCAGCTCAGCCGGGACGTGCTCGAGGTGGCCCAAAAGCCCGAGCAGGGCTTGAGGCACAGCCCAGAGCAAAGCAGCGCCAGGGCTCGCCCACGCGCAGCAAGGATCCCAGCCCCAGGACGGGCAAGGAGGCTGCTGGCTCCAGGCTGGGCTGAGCGCGGTCCCCAGAGCAGCCCCTGCTCTTACTGGGCTTGCAGTCGTCGATGTCGGTGTCGCAGTTGCGGCCGGCGAAGCCGGCTCTGCAGGCGCAGCGGTAGCTCCCGTTGGTGTTCTGGCACGTGGCCCCGTTGCGGCAGGGGCTCTTCACGCACTCGTTGATGTCGATCTCGCAGGTCTGACCTGCGGGACAGAGGGGGACGGGGACCACGTGGGCATGGAGGTGCTGGGGAAAGCCCCGGGGATGACGACGACGACATCTTGGGCACCGCTTGCACTGGGGATGCCCTTGCAGCAAACTGCCCTTGCCAAGGAGTGCGGGCGATGGCTGCATGGCATTCACCTGGGTGAGCTGTGGGGCAGGACAGGACCCTCGCCAAGGAGTGCGGGCGATGGCCATGTCCCATCCACCCGGGTGAGCTGTGGGGCAGGACAGGACCCTCGCCTCACCGCCGTTCTTGCAGGGGCTGCCGGCGCAGGGGGCCAGCACGTCCTCGCAGGTGGCTCCTGCACAGGCACAAGCACCCACTGACACCCCCTCCAAAACAAGGGGTGGCCCAAGACCCCAGCTACCCCTGTCCCCTGCCCCGGGGCACGCTCTGGGCTTCCCCACCATGCCGGGGTAGCCCAGCTAGGGCCATGTTCTCCATCCCTGGTACCCCGTGACCCCAACGCCCCCCTGAATCCTTTAAGCCCTGGCAATCTGGGCTGCATTAAAGTGCTGCACACTTCCTTTGGCAGGGAAGCGCTGCTCGGCGTGTCTTTCCCCCCTCGCGCTCCTCCCCGTCCCTCTCAGCTGCTTTTCCTGTTTACGTCCAGCCAAGGGACACGTTCCCTCCGAACCCTTATCTTCCCTGTCAGCCAGTATCTCCCGAACTGGCCTTTGCTATTTTCCAGAGCCTTCCTCTCCCTCCCTGCCCCGTCCCCGTCCCC